GATTTCTTGGTTTCTGTCTCTCCTGCCAGCGCACATGCCCTAGAGCAAAAATCACTCTAAAACAAACAAACAAACAAACTCATTTCCCTAATAAAAACAACTAACTTTTACTAAGTAGCTGTAAGGTGCCGGGCACTTACCAGGCATGATTTCATCTAATCTTCCTTATGACTCTATGAGCTTGCATTATTGTTCTAATTTAAGATAAGAAAACTGATGCTCAGAGAAGTCTTGGGAATTTTCCCCAAGGGTTCTAGCAAATGGTGAAGCCCAAACTCCAGCCCACATTTGCTTGGTTCTTTCTCCAAGTGCCTCACTAAGATAAAAGGGATTCAGGGCTTGTGTGAAGTAGGGTTAATCAGCTCAAGAGGGAGATCTAGAGAAATTGAGCCGCTCAGAATGATCAGTTCCTGAGGTTCCAAGAATCTTTAGATACCATTTGGGACAACTGGCACATATATCTGACAGATGACAAAAATTAGGGTCAAGAGGGGAAGTAATTTGTCCAAGGTGACACAGACCGAAGTAAAATGAAGCCTACAGTTACTAAGTCCTTACTAAGGACCAGGTACTGAACTGAGTGCATTTAATTAGAATGATCCCAACCAATCCCTGCAACCTTGACCTAGGTACAACTACTCCTATTTTACCAGAGAGAGGGTATAGTCACTTGTCCCATGTCACACAGCAAGTACACAGGTCCAGTCCAGGTCCCTATTCTCTCCTATGCCACATGGTCTACTCTGAGTGGGAGTTGGAGAATTTGAGGGTCATGGATGAGATGTGGAGGAAATGAACGCTTTGCCCTAAAAATTCTAGGGCCAGCAGCGTGGCAGCAGTTCCGTTGCTGGACTCCCAGACGGCCAATCACAGTTCGAGCCCCGAAAGCGGAGGAATGTGCCCTTTGTGTGTGTGTGCCCAAGATCCTAAGAGAATGAAGAAGAGACTGCAGTGTGGCCACCCCCACCCCATTCCGTCTCTCTCTCCAGCGAGCCCACGCGCCCTAATGAAAAAGCCTCTACCGAAAAAAAGAAAAAAATCAGAATCTGGACTACGAAATCCTGTCCCTCCATCGCCACTTGCTCTAACCCTTTCTTCCTACCATAGGGGAAACACAAGGCTCAGGGGAAAGGGGCTTGTTTGCCACGGCCCAGCCATGACTATGAACGCAAGAGCCCAATTCTAGGCCCAGGCGCCCCCTCACCGCCGCCACTGGCCCCTGTCGCCCACCCTCCGTAGCGAGGGTACCCGTCGGGGCTGGGGCTGCCCCCAAGAACCCCAAGGCAACCTCCCCGCGAACCCTGGCAGCGGTACGGGCTGGGGCTGGCCGAACAGAGAGTACCTGCAGGAGGAGACCGGAGGAGGCCAGTCGGGCCGCCTGGCCCAATACCTCCTGGGTGCCCATGGCCTCGGAGCCCGGGCTCCAACAGCAGGAAGCGCCTGCCCGGCTTCGTCGCGGAAAGACGACGTCACGGGGAAATCCACCCGCTGATTGGCTTTGAGGCGGCGGGGGCGGGGCATAAGGAGTTCTGGCCCTTTAAGTGGGCCGGGCTCGGGCCCATCGTTCTTGCGCCATCGGCGCCGCCTCTCACTTCTAGGTTGGTTGTGTGCGTGGTGCGTTTCTCCTGGTTCTTCCCGGTACTGGGAGACGCTGTGGAAATAGCCAAAGCTCCTGCTCTGAGGCGTTCAACCCTCCAACCAGGAAACGCTAATTTCCTGGCCCCACCTCTCAAAAGGGGTACATTTTAGTGGCGTCGTGGTTAAGGCGCTGGACTCCCACTGTGGAGACCGCAGTTCGAGTCCTGGACTTGAGAAACTTGAAAAATCACACTGGATGCGTGTATGTGCGTGTCCAAGATCCCTGGAGAATGGAGGAAATTAAATGTAGTACGTTCATGTGTGTGGTTTGGTGAGATCCTCCCCGCAGCTCTGAGCAGTGGGCTCTTTCATCAAAGATGAGTAAAGTGAGCCCGGGAGATGTGATTTGTTCAAGTCTACATCTCTTATACCTGGGAGGAGTGGATCTCTGGTTCCTGATCCTCAACTTGCCACTTTTGCCTTCGTGCTAGTATTTAAGAGGGCAGAGTGGACAAACGGACAGGAAGAGCTTTGTGAAATGTCGGGTGCCCAGCATACACCACCTGTTGGAGTTCTGGGTGTCCAACCATACAAAACCCCATCTTTCCTATCTCTTTAAGCCTTCCATGATTTGACCCCAAACTACCTTCACCTTTCACACCAGCACTGCCCTTTTCCAGTCCACTATAGCACCTAGCCGTTCAGAGCTTTAACCGGTCCTCAAACAGGCCCCATCTCACTGGCCTTTGTGCCTGCCACCCTCTCTGCCCTGTGTCTCCTCTGACAGCACTCCTTGCCCCTCAGGCCCCACTGCCCTCACTTTCCCAAACACTCACAGTCAGCACCTGCTATAGACTAAGTGTGACATCCCCTCAAATTCCTTAATGTTGAAGCCTGAATCAAAATACGATGGTATTGGGGGATAGGGAGATAGTTAGATCATAAGGCTGGAGCCCTTTTGATGGGACTTGTGCCTTTATCAGAAAAGACTCGAAATTTTAAAATAATAACAAACAAAATTAAATAAGTAATTCTTTAAAAAAAAAAAAAAAAAAGAGGAGGGGGTGCTGGCAAGTGGCATGGTAGTTAAAGTGCTGACTCCCACATGTCCAGTATGGTTCAAGTTCTGGATCTGGGGGCTTGCTTTCTCACTTTCCCTCCCTCTCTCTGTATCTCTGGTCAAATTAAAACATAATCATAATAAATAAAATTAAATAAATAATTCTTAAAACAACAACAAAAAGGCTTGAGAGGGACAATCTCTGCCTACCACATAAGCAGTTCTGCAAACCTGGAAGAGGGTGCTCAACCGAGAAGAGTTGTTGGTGCCTTGATCTTGCACTTCCAGCCTCCCAAACTGAGAAATCAATGTCTAAGACCCCCGGTCTATGTTATTTTGTTGCAGTAGTTCAAACAAAGACAGTATGGGAAAGCACTGTACACCCTTTAGCGTTCTCAGTACAATCTACACTGCAGTAAAAGGCTAAATGTGTATCCTTATCTGAACACCCCACGAGCTCCAACCTGGCAGGAGTGCTACCCACCTGGCCTTGTCTTTTGTAGTGGTGGCAGAGAACACAACTAGGGCTCCCATAGCCTATGCATCTCCATTTTGCCTGGTGAAATGAACCATGTCTTTAGTTATTTTCTTTTTTTTAGATATATATATATATATTTTTTTTTTTTTTTTGCTATAAGGGTCATGTGCTCACCCAAGAGACAGAGAGCGAGTGAGAAATTACTCCCTGAGGGTGTGGCCATGCTGCAATCCCTTCTCCTCTATTCTCCTCTCGGGATATTGGGCATGCACACACAAGCACCCAATGTGAGTTTCAAACCACCTGGTCCAGGACTTGAACCATAGTTAGCCTTCTGGTAGTCCAGTGACATAATTATTATGCCATCTGCTGGTCCCTGAACCGTGTCTTAAGTGCTGGCTGAGACCGTGAGCTTTGTCTTTCAGATCCTCCATGAGTCTTCCTGCCAGTCACTTACTGAGACCTCAGTGTGCTCGTCTATGGGTCGTCAGGAAAGTCTTGACCTGATGTATTTTTCTGTCTTTTTTTTGTTTTTTGTTTGTTTGTTTGTTTGTTTGTGGTTTTTTTTTTGCAAACACGCTCATCACTTTCCTGACAGCCCAATATTGTCACAGATAGGGATATTATCTGTCCGACAAGGGTAGTTGTAAGAATTACAGCAGACAGGGACCAGCAGTTAGCGTAATGGCTATGTCACTGGACTCCCATGTAGTCGACCGTGGTTCACGTCCCGGACCTGGTGGTTAAAACTCACGCCAGGTGCGTGTGCGTGCATGCCCAAGATCCTGAGAGGAGAATGAAGGAGAAGGGATTGCGACGTGGTCATCCCCCCTGGGGGGTGATTTCTCACTTTCTGTCTCTGTCTGGCGAGCACACGCGTCCTATAGTGAAAACCTCTCCCAAAATAAATAAATAAGAAGAATTACAGCAGACAAGTATGGTTTTAATGGCACTTAAATTCTAGTGAAGAAGAAACTGAAAAATAATAGTAATAATAAAATTGCACATAGGTATAAGTACTATGAAAGAATCAAAGAAGATAAGGTAGGGGCCGGCAGGTGGCATGGTAGCTAAGGCGGCTGGATTCCCACAGGGCTGACTATGGTTTGAGTCCTGGACCTGGCAGCTTGCTTTCTCAATTTCTTTCTCACTCTCTGTCTCTCTCTGGTCAACTTCAATAAAACTAAGGGGAAAAAAAATAGTGACAATGAATAAAATAAAATAATTATTTTTTAAAAAGAAGATAAGGTAATAGAGGCTCTTGGAAGAGAGAGAGGGCTGCTGTTCTGGAGCAAGCCAGGCCTCCACCTGGGGGAGGAGTATAACCGGAGTAGAAAGTCACTGGAGGGTCGAGGTAGCCAGCCCAGTGACTGAGATGCTCAAGGCCCTGACGGGTCAGCCTGCCCATGCCCATGGGCTCCCACTCCCTTTATCCCCAGCCAAGCAGCCTCTTCCTCCATACCTCATCCCTGGAGCAGAGCCAGCCAAGAATTCCTCACGTACAGACGCCCCTAAGCCTGGGCATGTGTGAGAGCCGGTTTGGGAGGGACAGGGGATCATTTGTTGGGGGTGAAGAAACCAGATAGCAAGTGCTCCAAGCTAAGTCTGAAGGGCAAAGCCTCCCAGGAGTCTGGGGTACAGTCTCCCAGGGGGGCCCTGGGTGGGAAGTCTGGGACCTTATTCTCTTGGTCTAGAGGTAACATTTGGCAAGGACAGACTGAGCAAGGACTTTGTGACCAAAACCATGCTGGATTCTGGGGTGGGGGAAGAGAAGGAACTTGAAGAGAGTCCACAAGCACTAATTGACTCATCTGTGGCTGGATCCCACATGGTCAGCAGCCTGGTTCAAGTCCTGGACCTGGCAACTTGAAATACACTCTAATGTATGTGAATGTATGTCCAGAATGCTGAGAGGAGAATGGAGAAGGGACTGTGGTGTGGTCATCCCTGCTGGGGTGTGTTCTTGCTTTCTCTCTCTCTCTCTCTCTGGTGAGCGCACATGACCTATAGAAAATTAAAAAAAAAAAACTCTCTGGGGATTGCAGTTTCTCTCTCTCTCTGTCCTTCTTGCTCATGGAAGAAATAAATAAACTAAAGAAGAAGAAGAACAACGACAAAAAACCATTGTTACAAAAATGAAAAGGCAAGACACATGGAAAATTGCAGAAGAAGAGAACAGTCTGCCAGTCCCTGGTGATCACCGCTGAGCCCAAGCACCCGGCGTATAGTGAAAGTCTCGGTGTGGAGGAATGAATGGGCACTCGTGAATGCATCGTATTTAATAAGTGAGTGGACAAGGAAGGACTAGGAGAGGAAGAAAACCAAGGAGCGTCCTTTCCACGGGGTCGCCTAGTGTGGGGAGCAAGTCACCCCTCGGGCATACGGACTGTTACTGATGGTTATTGAAGGAGCCGTTTTCCCAGGCTGCCTTTCTGCTTCCAGCCTCCTACCTCGGTGCCAAGCTGCCTCCTTGCCAGGGAAAGATGCTCCAAGCCACTTATTTTATTACAAAGCTGGAGGGAAGCTCCAGGGCTGGTGCCAAGCCAGTTAGGCTCCCAGGGCAGCAGGGCAGGGAGGGGGGCTGCCAAGGTGCCAGTGGGCAGGGGAGAAGTTGTGCAGTTGGCAGGCGCATGGAGTGGTGAAGCCAGGAGAACTGGGCATGGTCCCACACACCAGCCACTAGGGGGCGTGGTGTCGCTGGCAAGGGCCCTGCCCTGTCCTGCTCTGCCCAAGCTTCTGCTGTCCAGAGGACCTCTCTCAGGGCCCTCCCTGAAGCAGGACCCTGAGGTTCTGCCCTTCACTAGAAGCCCCAGGGTACGAGAAGGCGGCTGTGTCACTCACTGTCCACATGAGCTCAGGGCCAGGCACTGTTTTCATGATCTCTTCTAACTCCCGTGAGCAGCTAAAGCAGCCCCGTGAGGTAGGTATCACTATTGTCTCCATTTAATTTTTTTTAAATTTTCACTTGTTTATTCTTTGAGTGAGACAGATATACAACATTCCCGATAGGGTCTTTTTTTTTTTTTAGAAAGATTTTTGCTACAGGGCGCGAGTGCACACCAGAGAGACAGAGACAGAAAGTGGAAAATCACCCTCCAGGGGGATGGCCACGCTGCAGTCTCTCCTCCATTCTCCTCTGGGGATTTCGGGCACGCACGCACATGCTCCTAGCATCAGTTTTAAACCCCACCATGATAGGGTCTTGATGCCAGAATCTACTCCCAGCCCCGACCCACTCGGTTCATGGATACAGGGGAGCCAGAGTCCTCAGACAGGTCCCCAGACCTGACGCACCACCTTCCCACGTGGGTCCACCTGGCAGAGTCTCATT